AGAAAAATAATAAAAATAAAAACAATCGGACACCTTAAGACAGTTTTTTTTTCTTTAACAGAGTAACTGGTCAGATTTCACGAAAGGACTATTATTCTTTTTTGAGCGGTCAATTTTTTTTTGTAAAGAAAAAAAATCATTTCTCTCCGTCTCTCAAAACAATGGCCGAGTGGATTAAAGCGATGCTTAAGGTGATCGTAAGATCAAACTCTGGATCAAGTAGAGAAAAAAATAACACCTTCTGTGCGCTGTATCCATTCATGAGGTTGGCGATCATGGTTCTTCATAATTTCATAAGTAAATTTTATCTTTCCATTACCTCTCCTAATCATTATTCCACCATCCATTTACTTTGCTGGGTAGGTTATGCGTTGTTTTCCTCTCTCCCTTTTGCCTTCAATCTATCCTGTGAGTATATTTAATATTTTCTTTTTTTTTTTTTTGTTGCCATTTTCTCTCAAACTTCGCCGTTACTCACATGTTCAGTCCATAGTATTCTCAGTATCCTTCTGTATCTTCCTCTGTGAGGTGATTGTCCAGCATTCATTGCCATAGGAAAGGAAATGATATGAAAAAAGTAATATTTTCAGTACTATTTTCTTTATGTGTAACGAAACTTGTTTTTAACACTTTGCTTAAATTAAAGCGGAACTCGTAGAGAATGAAATAAGAATTATAATCGTGTTAACTGAAAGAATGTTGTTTGAAATTCTCAGAAGTTTACCAGATACAAACAAACATCTTCATGCCGGAGGAGACCGTTGCAGAAATGGTGCGACTATAACCACCAAAGATGACATAAATAAAATCATACTTTCACTTATCACTCAACTTATGAGTAAATAGCAAGGAGAGAAAATTTTCTAGTCTTGATTAGCAACAGGTCTAAGAGACGGGCACTAATCCCAAACCAAGAGTGGAGTCATTCAAACATTCCTTGGGAAACTACCCCTGTCTAGCAATTGGACAAATCTCATAGCGGAATAAATATCCGCACAAAAAGGAAATATGTAAGCCAAGTTAAAATTCTAGGCGAGTTTAGTTTCGCACAACTTCCCTTGGAAAAGGCATGAACCTGATTCATCTGTCTTCAGATATGCGTTAAATAAGTGGTTAGACTGGGTGGCAACCCGTCGTAGGGAACGAGAATTAAATTCCCCATTGTGAAGAAAGACTACTCCATTATCTTTCCTCAGAAGATAATGAAGAAAATTTAGTGAAGCATCATGATCGTCCATATCCTGAAGAGACAGGTTTAAAAAAAAAATCTTGCAACTCCTGCAACAAATAATACTGAATATGTGATTGTATTCTGAAAATATATTTAAATTTGTTTCTTATCGGCTGTTGAATGAAGCACGCATCTTATATCATCAATGCTATCGAACATTGAGAGATTAAACAGGGACGTGGATTTGCTCAGAGAATATAGTTTCCATAGGAAGTCTTCTAACAACAACATTCTTCGGAAGAGTAAGTCCCACGTCTTTGTTTACTTCTCGTTTCGTTGAAAAAGGACGCAGTCGTTTCCGAAAATTCCGACTTTAAAATCTTTCACTTCATGCTATAATTCAGTCAAAACGCTAATATTATCAATTTTATTGCCAGCATTGTTATTTTGTTTTTTTATTCCTCAAATTTTATTAACCAGCCTATAAAATGTATACGAGTTAAAAGATCAAATGTACATCAAATATGGATCGGAATTCAACAGGAGTGTGTGTGTGGGGGGGGGGTATCCGTCAGCGTAACTTGGCGCTGGACTTGATCAGTGGATGCTGAGCAATAAATTGTTTGAACAGTAGACAATGCGTTTATATTATCAAGCTTGAACAAAATGAACGGCCGTTTTGAACTACAGCCATTAAAGCGTCAGAATTGGATTCAACTAAAGAGTCAAAGCAAGCATCAACAGAATCTTGCCGACGATTCGACAGTAAATGTATTCCATCAGAAAAACTGAGGTTAGGGGAGTCAACAAACTGCTAAAAAGATTTTTTTTTAATCTGTTCTGCATTAATGGATATCTGCTGGTGTATAGCGTCCTGAAAAGGGATATAATTGGTAGGAGAGAGGATCCTGTGAATAAGCTGTGGTTGATACAGGACCTCAGTGCTTGATTACAGTTCCTGATGGGTTCTTGATATGATCTTCCATTATCCTCTATCAAAAAATAGACCCTTTCAACCTCAACTGTTCAAAATGTTTGCAACTTTTGATGCATCAGTTCTAAATCAGGTGATGGTCTGACTAGTTTGCATAAAGCTATGATTACAAACGGCCAAGAGGATATTTTGTGGGTGCAAATATTTAGTTTGGAGAATGTTGAGAGAAGAGCCTGATGGCCGACTCATTATAGATATGTATCCGATTAGCATACGCTAAACAGTTATAAAAAGAAGCAGAGCACACCACCACCACTACTACTACTAATAATAATAAAACTACAAAGAATACTGATAATAATAATACTAACAATACTACTACTAAAATAATAATACTGACAATAATACTAGCAAATCTACTACTACAAATAATACTGATAATAATACTAGTAATACTGCTACTACTATAAATTATAGTATTGATAATAATACTAGCAATACTGCTAGTATTAAAAATACTGGTACTACTATTAATGATAACAAAACTACTACTAATACTACCACTAATAATAACACTATTACTAATATTACCAGTAATAATAACAACAACAATACTACTAATAATACTACCACTATTACTACTAATAATAATAAAAGAGAAAAGAAAAGAAAAAACAAGAGAGAAAGTTCTCGCAAAGCTTTACGTCAGCCTCTCCCATAAAGTTAAATGGTCCAGTACCGACTATTAACCACAAAACCACTAACTGTACACACAGGAAAGGCTATGATATTCAAATAATTTTGCTCTGAAAACTCTGGAAAACGTTACTAAGAAATAAAAGGAATTATAAGCGACACAAATATGCACAGCTTCGCCGCCCCCCTCTCTATTTCCTTCTCTTTGCATTTCCCTCTTCCTTATTGCCTTTTACTTTTAACCTTTTCGTAATTGTCACCTACGATAGCAGATGTCGGTCAACTGACCAGATATCGTTAAACGCATTGTCGTTAGCCGCCTTCCGAGTTGACAACTTACCACAAGAAAATGCAGTTCTCAACCTTAAGTTAACCTGCCACAACTGATGTTTTCCTTTTATTTTTCATCTAGTTGTTGTAAAAAGTCTGACTAACTTCTCTGTTCGACTTACATCGCATCATTCCACTGTAAATCATTTGGGACGAGTCCTTTTTCACTGAGCTAAATTCGAGTATATTGCTGTCGATGTTTTAGGCTCGCTGTTCTCGGTGAAGATTGTTATTTGGAAGTGAAAATCTGGCCAATCTCGTCAACTATTTCAAGTTGACGTCATGGGCATTGGACACAGAATTAAATATGTCATTGTCCTAAATATGTTGCTTATTATCAAGCATTGTGTGTGTGAGTGAGAGTGAGACACACACACACACGGTCTGTCTGGAAAGAAATCGGTTGTTTAATATTAACGGACGAACTGACAATCTATGGAAATGATGCCCTGGTCCCTTTCAAAGTACTTCCCTTTGGACATCACAGCGTTCTTTCTAGTTTGTAAAATAGCCTATAAGGTCCTCTTTTCGAGATAAACATCAACTAACTTGACTATGAGTAGGGACTGACCTACCTGGGTGGATCGATGTTTAAGCAAAAAACATTGCAGAAAATGTTTAGAATGGGCAAGCGCTCTGGCACGATGAATGCAACACACAACGTGCACAGACTCACTCAGAGGGACGTGTTCAAGCAGGCTTATTAAAATCCCTATGATTGATTGCCAGAACACCATCAATACTATACATTTGGTTCTGTTCAAAACAGTTGGATTCTTTCCGGACAGAACTCATTTGTTTGTTGTGTGTGTGTATATTTAGGCAGCAATCCTCCTTTCATGCAAGTTTCATTAAATATAACAAGATACTTTGATTAAGATTTTTTTTTATATATAATTTCTCATGTAATCTTATAATTTTTTCATTTTAATAGATAAATTATATATAAACTGTCCAAATGTGTTTTTTTCTCCGAGCGCTTTCAGCTATACACTTAATATATTTCAACCTTGAAAATGACTAACTGTTAACTAGAAATACGTTGTATGTATGAACATAGACACAATATGTTGACCGTGTTTTGAAAATGAAACATTATATAAATACATAGACAATAATCTACTAGGCGATATCTGGGAAAACCTGGTTGCATTGAGCTGTCGGGTTCTTGGTCTGTCAAAAATTCGCCTTGGTTACGCCAGTCCAACTGGCGATGCTCTCTTCTGCTGGTATGGCCGTTGAGACCGTGTAGATCTTTACCTATTCCGCCAGCCATTCTCTTCGACCTTAAAATCTCACAGAAACCAAAAGAAGAACTTTTTCGAGAGAGCCAATCAAATGTTTTTATTTTATAATAAAATCCCATCGATTTCCTTCTTTCCATCCAGCACAATAATTCAATCATGGAATAAATTAGGTTTCCGCAAAGTCATTAAACATTTTTCAGAATTACTTTATATGACGAGGTTTAAATTCGAACCTCAAGTTCACGTTTTCATTCCGGTTTAGGCAAATGATATGTGGACTACCCACCCCAAATGGAGCGCCGAGGCGTGGTGTAATGGTTAGCAAGCTGGTCATGCTAAAACTATTACAACTGAATAGTGATTTTCCATCCTCACTGGGTGCCCCATACTTTCGGCTATGTACCACATCTAAGCCTCGCTTAGAAAATCAATATTTGGGCACCTCGAAGTGGTGTAATGGTTAGCAATCTTGTCTCCCTAGAACAATTACGTCTGGGTAGTGAGTTCGATCCTCACTGGGTGCCCCATACTTTCGGCCCTGTTCCACATATAAGCTACGCTTGGAAAATAACTACCCACCCCAAATATGCAATTTTTCTCTCGTACTGTTTAAATATGAGACTTACGGCCATATCACGTTAAAACCCCGGTTCCCGTACGATCACTGAAGTTAAGCAACATCGAGTCTGCTCAGTACCTACACGGGTGACCGCTTGGGAAAACAGTACGAAAGAAATACTGGGGCTGTAAATATGGATGTGCGGATGGTGCAATGGATAACGGCACGAAATTTCCAGTTCCAGTCGGGTTCGTTAAATTCACCTACGTGCAAATACCCTTGGCAAAGTTATGGACTTTCTCCCCCAGAAACATTCTCACAATCTAAAATATTTTCTTGATTTAAACCTGCAAAAGTTTGATAAACCGTAAAATAAATAAATCAATTTAAAATATGATTTCAATATCAACTTTTACATTGGCGTATCTGTACATTTATTTTCAAAATTTAAAATGTTTGATCATAGAAACAAACAGAAAACTTTATAGTATAAATTTGTAATCTGCTATTTGGCAAACTACACCCCCATGTTATCAAAATGTATAAATACTGCTGTAGTTGAATTGCTAAAAGCAGACATAAACAAAGTAACTGAATGGTGCATAAAACTAAAATAATATTCGTCAATGTGTCGTTGCTAGGTTTTCTTATGTTTCAGGCTAATCGTCATATTTGTTTAACTTCAAATATTTTCATGAAATTACATCGATTTAAAAAGGTCAGGTTAGCCAACATACAAATCGAACAATAATTCTCTTTTAATAGGAAAAAGAAAGAAAAAAAATTGTCATTCTGTGACACTAAATAACGCTAAAGGCTCAACATTCTACAAAATGTTAGACTCTCTACAACCCGTATTTTTCCATAGACCACTACAATGCTTTCCCTCTTATAGCGTTGCAAAATGTAAGCGTTATCATTTCAGGCGACAAAGTCTTAGAGAATACACAAAACAAAAGAGAAATAAGTTTTCATAATACTTTTATTCCAAGTTAAAGAACACTATTTTTCTTAAGTGTACAGTAATTCATAATTTTTTAAATTGCAGCTTACGAAAGATCAAAAATTACTAGTATTATAAAAAATAAAAACTACTCAAACATCTATCCCTAAAATATAAAGATTCATAAAGAAATTTCCAAGTATTCGCGATGGACATTTGACGTATTCGGCGGAGGAGGGGCGTATTGAACATTTGATAATATTGCGGCAATACGCGCTTAAAGGTTTTTTTTTTTGATCAACATTTGATGAATGATGCTTTCCAAAAGTTAAGCAAAGTATTCTAAAACAGGAAAATTTCGTTAGAAACAAAGAAAAGAGTGCTGAATTGTTATGTAATATCAGTCCTTTTCTATAGCAGTGAATATTAGAAAACCTCGAATGGAAGAATGTGACTCGCACAGGGGCGGGAGGGTGGATGTCGGAGAGTGACCTACCTAGCGAGCTTGTGTAAATAGATGACAGATAAGGAATTGGTAGAGATAACGAAAAGACAAAACCTACTAAGAGCTCCAAAGGATAGAAAGTCGTGGAGAATCATGATTATACCCGTGCTGAAGAGACACGGCACACAGGAGAATAGCTTTTTACTCGAGCTGAGAACTTTTCAGCAGCCTTCGCAAATACAGTCGACGTGAAGATACAGTTTTGAATTTTCTTTTAGCTACTACTACAATTTATTATGTCACTATGTTATAATTAGATTGAAGATTTCCAGATATTTGCACAATAAATCTTATATCATAGGTTACATCAGAAGCTAAGATAGATTTAAAATCGCGAACCTTGTTTTTATGCCTGTACATTTCTCTCCAATCCGCCTCCTAATCAATATTTAGAAACATTCTTAACAGATTGACATTCACGATAAGGGCGTCGTATCAGGCAATGTTGAGATTAAGTTAACACGAAAAGGGAATTGGTTGAATAATGTTTTCATCTTCTTTAAGAAAGTTGGAGAGCGAAAGATATGGCTAGACAAATTATACCTTAATATCTTATCACAAAACAAAAATCTCACCATTATTTGCCCATGCATGTTAATATTTCCAAGATTCTTTCGACGGGTTCTTTACGGTAGAATCATTATTTATTTTTTGCTTTCTCTAATCTTTGCAAAAGTTCACAATGCTTTTATCACAAATCTCAATCTCCCCTACCAGTTGCTTTTACTTTCGAGAGATCGAAATTATATATCTAAGTTTTTTTTTTCCTTTTTAAGTAGGGAACCTTTACAATATGCTGTATTTGAGGTCTGCTTGCCTCAAAGACATTATTTTCCACTATCATCTGCGTGATAGTGGAAATATCCTTCTATACTGTTAAGAATAGATAGCGTAACAGGGGTCTAAGCGCTCTGATGCTATTTCAAAACAAACCCAGTTATCACGTCCAGACAAGAATCTCAAAAGCAAAAAACAAAGAACAAATGTTTGGTGTATCACTGGAATCTCCTCGGAAAACAAAACAAAACACAAACGAAACTAAAAGAAAATCATTCCCAAATGTATAGCCTTTTAGAGACTCTTGTCGTAAAGAATCAAAGATAATAGTTTCCTTTTAGAGACTCTCTTGTAAAGAACAATCCATTACGTTTTATATGGTACGCTTCTTGGAGTTTACTATATCTAACAGATGTTAACAAAACAATTTAGAATCCTTAATTCTTTATGTAAATCTGACTGAAGTAAATTAAAATTATAGGTAGTAGATCGAGCAGACAGAACAGACGAAAGAAAAAAAATCATTCAAGATTTGTACTTACAAAATAAACACTATCATTGACGTAATTGTTAAAGATTATCAATGTAACCTTTCAAACTATCGTAACCAATTTTTGAAGCTCCTTAATATCGACAATGATTGACCTCAAATTTAAAACAGAAAATTTCATCAGGAACTTTTGTTTACTTTTGTCCAAAGTTCAAACTTTGGTGTCCGTAATCAATAACAGTAAGTTTATCACCGCGTGATGGGATTTATACTTACGTTGCCAGTAAATCGGTGGTTAAAATTGCGAAGGAAAAACTGGAAAATCTGAAACGCTTATTTTCAAGGGAAACAAGATCCCCCCCTCCTCAATGAGCCTATATTTTATGTTCCCGGTTTTTAATACTCTCTTTCTCTTATTTGGCTCATTTCTGCACCAAATTAAACTTTTAGAGGAAGGACCCCCCCCGAGCAATCTGTGTAACCCTACTTCATTCAGTGGGTTTTTTTTTTTTACTTTTCGTCTGCGTGTGAGCTTGTCTCACTGTCTGGATTCCCAGGTTAGTCACAATATTCTGTTGCCTTGATTTCTGGATAGACGACACGTGGGCACTCAAGGTATTATGACTGATACAGTCGTAATACCTTAAGTGCCCACGTCTTTCCTGGATTATTTTTTTCGGTACTACTGTAGTATCTCTACCGAGGCATTTACGTTCTACTGTAAATGACGATGCACTACCAAAAAACCCACTTACGGCCTACAGCAATGAATTCCTCAAACTACAGTTATTTTAGCCTATAGAGGGGGGTATTTATTTAATGTGTATTCATAAAGAAGGTATTTATGTAATTCTACTATAGAATAAACAAGCTAACGTCAGACAAAATAATTTCCATTGAAAATGAAGCGGTGTCCATTTTAAGAATTAGGGTTAAGGTTTTTAGCATATTTTATACCTCCACCAATTGGTAAATATCATTACCATAGCAGAAAATGAATAGTAGATATTATACTATAGTAGCACCTTTTTTTTCTTTCATTAACGGTACTGGAGGTGAATATTTTCTGGGTTGGCTTTATCCGCCTGAGAGAGAGCAAAACCTTACAGTCACACCTGAGGAGGCTATCCAATCATCAGGTGTATAATATCAGGTCTATTATACTGTCATTTTATGAATGGTATCTTTACCGTGCAGTAGTCTTCGGAGGGACCCTCTCGATGCCGTGATGAAGGATACAGTTACGGTTGTACTTCCAAGCGATTCAAGTCGTTAATGCATGGACTACATGTGAGCGTGAATGTTTCACTATCTCGTCTCTGTCTGTATCAATATCTGATATCTAACCATGACCACATCAAAATCAAACAGAAGAAGCAAGCCCAACCCCATAAAAACAAAAGTAGACACTAGGTTCACCATCTCCTATACTAATGTAAGCGGCCTACGACCCAACTTTCCAGAGATTGCTCCATCTTCAAGAGGCCAAACCTGATCTCTTGTTCCTGTCTGAAAAAACTGGTATCTCCATGCAGGAACTCGCAATCCCAGATGACTCGTCCCTAAAATCGAAGACTGATTTTCCGTTCATGTGCTTTCGCGTTACCCTTGTTCACAGGACCTCCTTCATTTTCACTGATTAGGGAATTGCAATGATCGACGAAACAGCCGAGAAGATTGACGCTATACTCTCTGGATATCCTTCAGCTAACATTCATATTTATGGCGACTTTAAAATTCCATACAAAGACTGGTTATTCCACTGAAACAAAACCGATGAAAAAGGCAAATATTGTCAAGATTTCGCCATTGCTTACGAACTGACTCAATTGTAGATAACCCCACTGATGTTCTTGATACAACAAGACATCACACAAACCTATTTGACCTCATACCCTACCCTGAAAAATGCTCCGCTGAAAAGTTACTTCCTTGAGCAGAGAATTCACCGATTAGACACAAACCTAAGGTATCCCCCCTGATGTGCCGTTTCATAGGACGATCTTTCGACACATCAAAGCCGACTGTGATAGCTCAGATCTTACATGACAGAAGTTCTTCTCTCTCAGCATTGAGCCTCCAGAACTGCCACTCGCTTCTCTGAATTAATCTTTTCTGGCATTGAAAGATTTATCCACGGAAAAATGCCAAGAAAAATCGAATATTCATCTCTGATTCACGCCATAATGTGCATTAGCCTTAGCTCACCGTAAACATTACTAGAACAGCCACTACAAAGAATGATATAGTATACCCCTTGATGCATATAGAACTTACTGCAATCATTTCAAGATGGATCTAGAAAATGCAGTGTGGCTATGCACAAGCAGTCCAAGCCAAGATCGAAAGCAAAAGACTTGGCTATCATGAGTCCTGGAAAAATCCAGATAAATATGATAAAACTTTCCCTCTAACTACGTTACATTACATGGGCCATTCTCCTTTCC